AATACTTGTCTATTCATGGCTACAATTCACCTAAGGGATATAGCTGATTAAAATCATGCATGTGTATTAAAAAAGCCTAATTATTCTAATAGTCTTAGCAGTTATATAACATATTTACTGAAACTGAAAAAGCAGAATCTAGTAAGTTCCTATCCTCTTTCCTGATACTTCTCTTGCATCCCCCCGTGAGCAATGGCATTAGGCTCTGCACCCGCACTCGGAGTCTATTCCTGACTGCCATTGCTAGTCAGTTTTCAACAGCTTGAGGCAAAGACTGCCTTTAGGGTTGCAATAAAGTATTTTAACAGGTTATCTGGGTCCGGTGCTTAAAATAGCTACACATCTTTTAGCACACAATCACGTCAGGTCTCTTTTAAGAGCAGCTATAAAAGACAGGATCCGCTGAATCCAAACGATGAGCTATAGAGCACTACTGGCATGCGGACTGCACTGTCACTGTTTATGTGGTGATGGAGGGGTTGTGGGAAGACTAAACATTCATGAAAGGAACGAAGATCATTATAATTTCTACAATATGTACGGGAACACTTGCATTTTAACTACAGTGCTAGTAACAATTATGTTTTAGCTAGCTAGTTAAATAAATGGATTATATATGAATCTTACCTTGGAGGAAATGAGATGTCCAGTTCATACAATCTGTCTTTAAAGACTGACAGCTCTCTGTCAAATTCTAAAAGCTATAAAAGATAGAAATAAATGTATTCACTTTTTAATGTTGAACAGAAGCAATATACATTATATAAAAGGAAATAAACAGAGACTTTGATTACACAGCTCGAGGTATATCCCTCATATAATAGTTTTAAAAATATAGTGCAAAACACTCAGTACTATTTTGATACATAAACAGTTCATTGAGAAAAGTGTTCAAAATGTTCCTTTTCATCTCAGTGAAACACGTAACACCGGCTCTTTACAGCAGTGACCTATATGTACGCTTACTATTTCAAGATGGCTAATTTTTTTCAAATTTTATTAGCAATCTTTTCAAAGATAAACCAGACTAGCATTAAAAAAGTACAGCAAACTGATATGCTAATCAGCCCACAAAAATGCCAGCAAAAAGTATCATATTACTTTATATTATCTTTAGCTCAGATAAGAAGGTACAACAAACACAAGGATGTGCACATCACTCTTCCTAAGCAAAGACAAGCAGTGTTTTTGTACACCTATTTTGGGTGGTGCGTGTCAGATAGCAGAAGGAGGGATACGTGACAATAGGTAAAATGTGTTCCCAGGCAGCAGCCAAGATATAGTACTAGACACAGATATTTAACAGAGATGTTCACAAGTCTAGATTTAATGTCCTGTATAAATATTAGTCCTTGCCAAATTTGTTTTCTCCCAGACCTCTACAGAGAAAATAAGTATCTGCAGTCTTCTGTTCATAAACACAAAGCCGCTCATAACAAGTCAATGATAATCGTCCACATTAAACCAATAATTGTTCTGATGGACATAAACGACCTTATTTCAGAACCACGGCTGGTGTTAAGCCTGACGTCCGAGTGAATTAGCGAGTTAAAAGACAAAAAGCTCATAATCTGCACTGTTACTGGCCGTCGCTCTAAGTGCCACTTTCTATTTTGACAAGCGTGTCATCCAAACAGCATCCCATACGATGGCGGCGTGTTTGCCCACTGTTCATTAATCATGTCCCAACTCACAGCTGTGCTGATACCATTGTATGAATGGCAGAGGTTCCCTAAGAAATTAGATTGTGTCCCTCTTTCCCCTCTGCCACCTCATAAATCATTCCTGAAATGTGCAATTAGCAGCTACTTGTACACATTAATTATCTGTGTGAAAAGCAGCTACCTGAACCACCTGCACTGCTGATTAGCTACCTCTCTAAGGCCCACCCAGCTTTCTTCAGTTCCTAGTTGCCCTGTTGTTGCTATATGTACGTACTTTTACACAAGGATGCCAAATAATAGGCAGCTTTCCCTATTTTAGTGCATCTGACACCAAGCTCTGTGATGGTACGCTGGAAAAGCTTTTGCAATACAAATAACTGCAGACAATTTGTGCATGTTTTAACATCTGATCAAAAGCCCGAGTATCCAAGATGTTTGGATAAATATTTATAAACGTCTATGTGGAAACCTACGGCATGTATCTAATAATATGCTCAATCCTAAAAATGTTGGGATGGTTCAGCCACTATTCTTACTGAAGCAGTCTCAACATACTTCAGGAAAAAATGGTTTATCATGCATATTTCCAGACTGTGATCCTATATTTAAGTTCGTATAGATAGATGTGTAGCCACAATACATATATACAAACTGGCTATGAAAACAAAAGTTACCATCCCTTTCCTGCTCCACGTGTCTCCACCTTAAAGATATTATCTGCCCAACATCAATCTAGCATAGGAAAAAAATCTACCATCCCCAGTTAAAACTTTTTTTGAAATATATGTCCATTAATACAGTGCAAATACATTTTTCCTACTGTTGCCAAGTAAACAGATCAGAGCAGGGAAGTGGAAGCATCAGGAGAAAGAGGGCTATTTCTGAAGTGTGAAAACTGCAAGGACTGAATAAAAGAACAATGCTCCATAGAACACAATGGTATAAATTACTCATGGGCATTCCAAAGGCCAGCGATGTTAAATAGATGCATTGTCCTCTCACACCAATTCACACTTTCAAAATTTTATACATTCAGATTGTTCTTGCTATGATGATATTTGCAAACTAAATGAAGGCCGGGGTTTAGAGGACTAAGCATTCAGACATGCGTTATTATCCAAAGAAGTTTCTGATGTGTTTATTTGCTGCAGTTGCTTGTTCAGTTGTGTCTGTGCTATGCAGATGAGCTGCTGACACTGGTGAGAGAGAGAACAAATAATAGGAACAAGACTTTATTGTGTGCTGTACTCTCTATCCGTTCCCCAAGTTTCCCCAGGTAGAGAGGTATCTTTAACCTGAAATGACAAAGCCAAAAACTCATGATGACCCAGCTGGTTGTCAAAGCCCAACTAGGTGCCTAGAAGAAATATTTCGGGAATGCTCGTTGTAGGCAATTCATCCTCACATGTAAAACAGTGAAATATTTTCCCTGGATTATTTGCACAAACTTTTATTTTTGCTACATTTAAAATAATTATTTACTTTTAACAAATTATTTTTTCCTAGCTATTAAGTGACTATGTTACAGTATCTGTAACCTTCTGTTCAAATGTGTCCACCAACTACGCAAACAGACATCTGCTCATTCTTATGAAGGGCAATGACAAGTTCTTCGCGTGTTCGGGACTGCACAGTGTGAGCCCACCTAAAAGCTTTTCTTTATTTACCTGGTAGAACTGCAGACAATGGGGGAGATGAGGAGGAGAAATGATGAAAACTTGAACTGTGCACTTTGAGAAAACTCCAGTTAATATTTCATTAGAAGAGCATGTTTTAACTATCACTTTTTTGGGTATTAAAAGCACTTGGGTTCTCATTTAAGCCTGTAATCTCAAAATGCAAGATTATTGTAGAAAAACCAAGGCGTTCTCTAGGTCTTGACACAAACAGTTACAAACGTCACTTCTCCTCAATGCAACTTAGTAAGAGAAGGAACAGGACCTGACATGGGCATCATTTAATTGTATTCACTTTGACAGGTACATGGGTGTCTGGAGCTCCTTGGCACTACAGAAAACGAATGAAAATTAATATAGGCCAGATGATACTGAGGGGCAGTCAGAATCTCACAGGGTAATGTCTTTACTTTTAAAGCATATAACATTGTATTTAAAAAAGACCACCTGGAACATACTCTATTCATGGCAATTTTCAGCACAAACTGCTCACTTATTTCCATATTGTACACTAAACAGCATTGTGAATAATGTCATTGCTGTAACAGTAAACATGAGTATGTCTGCCACTCTAAATGACTTAAAAATGACAAAGAAATTAAGTTCAAAGCCTAAAAATCAATATATTGTTCTATTTAATTTACTCATTATAAGATCATCCATAAGAACCAAATCTTTAAGGTGTTACATGACATGCTGGGGTAATTTGAGCAATTACACAGAGATTTTAAAATGCTGTGGCTGGAAGCTAATTCCAGAACTGTATGTCACAGGCAGTTCAAAAGACTGTTTTTTCCACAACTCAATTTCCCCAACGTATTTATACCTAAATGATAGCAAGGATGATGCAGGGCCTATGTTTTATCTGCTGTAACTACTGAGTTGCTGATACGATGTCAAGATATTTGCTCTACAATGTCCAGTGACCAGCCCAACACGAACATTTGATTAACATCTTCCAAATGAAAATACCATCCATACATATGAGTAACACATCTATAGTTAGCTAACACCCCATGAGAGACAGAGATAATACACCTCAGGGAATACAGCCATGCAGTATGTGTAAGAAGGCATGCAGCACACATCCACTGGACTGTGAGAAAAAACTCACAGGGCGGAATATGATTTTTAAAAACAGGTTAAATTTATTGGTAAGATTTTGCAGTCTGAAGTTAAGTATTTCCATTTAGCAAACTTCATGAGCCAAATGCTTCACTTAGTTTGTATACTCAAGCTCCTATTGACCTGAAGGGGAATTGGCTTGGTATCAATGAAGTTCTCTGCATTAAAGAATTAAAGAATGACTGTATTTGCAGTAAAGGATATTATTCCCTGTTTAATTTGAGTAGAATTAAAAGCATTTTGGGCTGTTGCCTGTATCAGCTGCAGTGCCCATCATCTTCTAAGGGAATTATCAAAACTGTTGTTTTTCCAGGCAACTGTGTCGCCTGTAAAAGCTGCTGAATAGAGTTTCATTTTTTCCTCCCTTTTTCTTGTCAGCACTATGACGTACAAGTGCACTTACGTACAAGGGTGAAGGAGAAGGCAATGCGTGATATGATACCAGGGCACGCGGTCCTGCATAGGCACCGTCTGCAGAACCCGTACGCTACTCAGTAAGAAAAAATTGCGTAGGGCTGGACGGATGGTCTCGGCACTGTGCAGTCCTTCCGACGGGGACTCCAGTAAGTTCCCTCGCCCCAGGGCTGGAGTAGGGCTGCAGTTCATTGTCCCTATAGCTCATGGGGCCGTATGTAGTTAAGCAGTGTGTGCTTTGGCCAAAGATAACAATTATCTGGAGTACTAAATTTCGGTATTATGTAGCTTGACAGTAATCCAAGGATTATAACAGAGTTTAGAGCCAGTTGTAGAAATCAAGGTAATTTTGCTTGCTTCAGTTTAAAGCGATGACGCACTCTTAAAAGGTCAATATCCATCGGTATGCTGCAATGGACCACCTTGGCTAAAATCACACACACATGAACCCTTTAAAACAGGGCAACTTAATTCAGTCATTGGAGTAGAACAACGGCAATTACTCATCAAGACCTACAGACCAAAGTCAGAGCATTGGTAGATCAGAAGGTGATATTAGCAGCATTTATCAAATCCATCTGCAGGGCCCACCAGAGAATTCACAGCTGTGAAAGGGAAATGAAGTTTCAAACCAAAAAGAGGAGATGAGCATACAGAAATGACCTTAGAGAATTAAAATATGTGGACACTGGTCACTGTAACCTCCTTTGCCAGTCTTGTATAGCACATGATTTTTTTCAAGAGACTTTGGAAATACGGGAATTTATCCAGCTTTCCAGTCAAAGAAAAATATTTAGAAACTGATTCAGCAGTCTACTGACT